GTTATTTCCTATAGAAACATTTAAAAAGAATGTATCGCGCAGGCATTGATAATCTCAACATTATGATTATCATGCTCTGGATTAAGAGTTTGTGAAACACCCAAACTTGTTGTTCTATACCTACCCTTATGTATACTGAACCTACCTACGAAACATTATCAATATTATATATTTGGGGAGCCCCGTATAACGGTACCGGTATTATGTTTCTACCTAATTGGTTGTAATTTGTTATTCTGGTTTGTGGTATGCAAAATTTGCAGCACATAATGATGTAAATCATGCTTTTATTAATCGGTCCAATTTTAGATGTACCTCCCGTGACTCGTTTCTCTATATAAATGACGACCAACTGATTTGTCTTGATTTGTCCGATTTAAACAACATTTTGTGTAGGCGGCCGAATATAATCTGACATGACGTGCCGAAAGTCAGTAATCAAAATCCATCACGACAATAGCCTTAAATCATTTCTGATAATACTTTTTACCCCATATCAAGATGTTGACAACGTTTTTAGTCTACCAAAGTGCGACGTACGTATTATTTTCCAAATTGCAAAATCATTGTTAACTCTTGATACCGTAAGTAACAAGGCACATATTTCTGCAGAACGAATATATTTCTTATTTTGTACACAATTTGAAAGTCATTCGCGAGGTCTCGCGCTACCTGCGAAATACACTTATCAGCGAAAAGCATATCAACAAATATGAGTTTATGACGTTGTATTTGGCGTAAGCCAAATATTGATAATGGAAATTAATAGAATAATCTAATGGACATGTTTTAAAATATTTCGTCAATATTGTCATAATCTGTTGGTGATTGCTAAGACCATGGCGTTAGTATTCGTAGATATTATATTATTATTAACAGTGACTAAGACTTGTTTAAAACCGTCTAAAGTGTTTTAGATAATATTGGTCTATAAGTTCAACAATGGACGCCAATTTCTATAAATTGGGTTTTCCAATTACTAATATTTTTTACTAAAATAAATTAACAAATCAAAAACTCTAATAACACAAATGTCCTTGTCAATAATCAGTATTTTTATACCTTTCACCACACTGTGGTACAGGGTATTATGTCTTTGTGTATATGTTTGTAACAGGCAAAAAGAATCGAGATAGACCCATGGTTCCTTTTGAGAATATGCATAGAATCACTTTCTGAGTCGATTTATGCATGTCCGTCTGTCCGTCCGTCCATGTATTTTTGTTAACAAAGTACAGGTCGCATTTATGATCCGATTTGAATGAAATATAGCACAGGTCACGAACCCTATTGAAAAAATCGGTCCACATTTAGGCATAGCTCCCATATAAGGGTACCCCCCTTCCAAACCAAATTCTTTATAATTTGGTTTTTTGTAGACGTATATGGTAACAAACCTCCCTCCCAAAAATTGTTAATATTCGCCCCTTTTAGGGGTAGTCCCCATATAAACCCCTTTTTATACCCTTCACCACACTGTGGTACAGGGTATTGTGTCTTTGTGCATACGTCTTTATCAGGCAAACAAATCGAGATAGACCCATTGTTCCTTTTGAGAATATGAATAGAATCACTTTCTGAGTCGATTTATGCATGTCCGTCCGTCCGCTCATTTATTTTTGTTAACAAAGCACAGGTCACTTAATAGGCCAAAGGACGAACCCTATTGAAATTGGAGAAAATCGGTTCAGATTTAGATATAGCTCTCATATATATTGATGCACCAAACTCCCAATAGTGATCCGATTGAGACAAAATTTTGCATAGAGTATTGAATTAGGTCCTGATTAATGTTTGCGAAGTTTTGTTGAAATCGGTTCAGATTTCGATATAGCTCCCATATATAGTTTCGTCCGATTTAATGTAAATAGTGCACCGAACTCCCAATAACGGTCCGACTAAAGCAAAATTTTGCACAGAGTACTGAATTAAGTGCCGACTGATATAGCTCCCATATATAGTTTCGTCCGATTTAAAGTAAATTGTGCACCAAACTCTCAATATTGTTCCGATTGAAGCAAAATGTTGCACAGAGTACCGAATTAGGTCCCGACTAATGTATGCGAAATTTCTATATCAACAGGAAATTGTAGATATTAACATGTCTTGCATGTACCCATAGTGGTGATGATACCCTTCACCTGATATACCCTTCGACTGATATAGCTCCCATATATAGTTTCGTCCGATTTAAAGTAAATTGTGCACCAAACTCTCAATATTGTTCCGATTGAAGCAAAATGTTGCACAGAGTACCGAATTAGGTCCCGACTAATGTATGCGAAATTTCTATATCAACAGGAAATTGTAGATATTAACATGTCTTGCATCATATAGTCGGCCCCGTCCGACTTTTGAACTTTCCTTACTGGTTTTATTAATGCCATTTAACTTTTGTCAAAGCAAGAAATCGAAAAATTAATAAACAATTAAAACAATCGACTAACATATAGCAACCAAGATTTATTTTATATTTCAATCGAAAAAATCTTATCTTGGACTAAAAGCCGTATAATTATTGCCGAAACACTTTGATGTTCTATACTAGAATACCTGGAAATATGTATAATATTTCATGATGTCTCGGTGGATTTCACAATATTTTAAACCATATAAAATATATGTCAACAAGTTTTTTGAAATACTACATTTTGTATATTATGATGTGATCTCTTTTAAGCCCACCCACAAGAATTACGCACGAATAGTATTGGAAAATTTTGGAACTGGAACACATTTAGTCATACTTGTGCACTTTACGACTTAGTCAATAAAATCTGTATCGGATTTCAAATATCAGAAGTATACATATATAGGTATATATAATTGATAAGGATTGACTCAAGAAATTACTGCATCATATTGCGTATAATTTACTATTTCTTCCAAGAGAAGAGAATGGACGGGCATATATACTAAAGCATATAACCTCGGAAAACGCAATTTGTGTCTTGTGTAAAATGCCCATTGAGAAATTTTACATTTTATGCATAAATGACAGTAACAACACGTAATGCGATGGGGACTTATCGGGAGAAAAGGTGAGAGGGGAAACGTATTTTCAGAAAAAAGAAGAAAGAACAAGAAAAAAGTGAGCAAATCGAGATGTACAGTAGTCAGAATGAAGTCCGGAAATTTTACCAACGAGTAAAACACCAAACCGATGGCTTTGGTTCAGGCATTTCCTCCTGTAGAGACGAAGATGAAAACCTGTTGACAGATACACATAACGTGTTGAGGATCTGGAAGGAGCATTTTGAAAAGTTTTTGGTATCAACTAGTGGCAGTGAAGAATATGGCCCAGAACCAATAAGAGATGACGGTATGGAGTTTATTCCATATTCCAGTTTAGCAATTAATCGTCTGATTAACAATAAATCAGCAGGTGCCAATGGATTACCAGCCGGGAGATGCTGGTCAGGAGCATGCAACAACTGATTAGTACAATTTGACTGGAGGAATGCATGCCCAATGATTGGAACCTCAGCATCCTGTGTCCCGTGCACAAAAGAGCACACAAGTCGATATGTGCCAACTATAGAGGAATAAGTCTCCTTCCCATCGCCCATAAGGTGCTATCCAGCGGGCTGTGTGAACGACTGATGCCAATGGCCAACGACATTATAGGGTCATACCAATGCGGCTTCAGTCCTAGCAAATTCAACATTGACTAGATCTTCACTCTGCGGCAAATTCTGGAAAAGACCCACGAAAAACACATCGACAAATTTCACTCGACAGCCCTTTCAGAGGTGTTTAAGGCCATGTCTGCGTGTATCATTCCTGCAAAATTAATACGGCTATGTAGGATAACTTTAACTGGCACAAGGTCCGCAGTGAAAGTCTGAAAGGACTTATCGGAGCCCTTCAATACCGAACAAGGATTCAGATAAGGTGACAGTTAGTCGGGTGACCTGCTTAACATCCTGCTGGTAAAGGTCATACGAGATACAAATGTGAAAAGAAATGACACTCTATACTCACCGACGACATCGACATAATGGATCCACCATTACGAGGGGTAACAGCCACATTTGAAGGAGTTGAGAAGGAGTCTGCTAAAGTGGGACTGGCAGTAAATGGCGAAAAGATCAAGCTCATGGTCCAGTTGACTCGGACCAACTGTGGAACTTGAATACTAAAACTTCAAGGTTGTAAACAATTTTATATACCTCGGTACCGCCAAAAACAAAAATAATAACATCTGCTTTGTAATCTGGAGGAGAATTGTTTTGGCCAACAGTTGCTACTATGAAATTGGATATTCCGTTCTCTCCATATGAGGTTTACATGTTTTCAAAATGTTGACCCTTTTTGGGGGACGTACTAGAACGTGTGAAACGATAAGTCCTCTCTTCCAACATTATGTAGCCATAGTTAAAGATTATTTTGTGTGGGAGGTACGAGAAGGAGTGGACCAATTGAGTCCTATCTCCAACATGAATTAAGTCTGAAAGAAAATCTACGATGTGCACAATTTGACTCAAGTCGAACATTCCATTAGCCTAATAATGGATTTTTTTTAAATATTGAAAATGTTAACACTTTGTAGGGAAGGTACCAGAAGGAGTGGACCAATGGGTCCCATATTCGTACTTGGTGAAGGTAAGCGGTTGTCGAATAGTCCGTTAGCATGATATTATAATAATATTCTGCAAAATTTCACGGGGGAGGAGGTATCAAAAGAAGTGTACTGATATTCCCATCGTCGAACATAAACTAGAACTAGTTTAGAAAAAAAATATTGCGATGGGCAAAGTTTGGATGAAAACGGTTACTCCCTTCGACATTTATAGTGCGCATCAGTCTGCCAGGCATATAGACGGCTGGACGATGAGTTTCATTTACGTTTACTTTTGAAAACACGAAATTTATAACCCTATAAATTCATGTTTTAGCTGAGAACCCATATATGAGTACCATTCTTTTTATTTAAATAACTAAATAACAATAATTAATCGATTTTAACAATAAAAACGATTTTCAAATTTATTTCTAAATTATACTTCAAATGCACCACGATTGTCCAACCACGGAATTAAAACTTTCATATTTTCCGCTAATCTTTTATTAGTGTACATAGCTTGACGGAAATCGCTACCTTCTTCACCACCGATGACATTATCCATATTGGCATCTTCACGGGACTCACAAAGTATTACAGGCATCAAATTTGTTGCAATGGTATAAGCTAAATAAAAGAAATAATAAATGTATGTCAACTTTTAAATTTCATAATAATAAATACAAATCTTACCCCAATAATCATGCTTGTACATGGCAATGTGTATATCTCTCAAACTGGGAATTTTACTTTCATATTTCAGTAATTTCAAACTCTCCACTAATTTTTCATGATAATAGGCAATGAAATAATCAAAATGTTTTAATTTAATTTCCAAATTGGTTGATGAGTAAAGGAAATATTGTAAATCCTGTGCCGGCGATCCATAGCGACCCAATTGGAAATCAATGAAATAGGTCTCTTTCAGCGCGCCATCTTCATGATATTGGAACATAATATTATTTACCCATAAATCACCATGATTTAGTACATTAAATTCGGCGGGACTTCGTTCTGATTTGATTTGATATGGGTCCGATTGAGATTCAACGCATTTTTTCTGTAATTGAGAGAGGAGTGTATAAGACATTTTAATTATAGTATAGCTGTACTAGTCCTGATAATAGTAATTCTTAAAGAATAATTAAATAAATACATCATTATCGGCCTAGATAAAAACTTAAATTAACCAGTTATAAAAACCAGTGAGCGGAGCAGTATAGTCGGACGGGGCCGACCATACAATACCCTACACAACTCCCACGGAACTCTTATTTTCTGCTGATGTTTTTTCCGAGCCTGGGCAATATTTCGTGATATTTGCACCCTTCAACAGCTCATCTTCCTTACACCGACGTATTTTCCGAATATTACTAATATTCAGTATAGCGCTTCTAATTACTTTTCCAGATTCCCTTCGCCGTAGACTGTATTGGGATGTCCGGCTTATAATTATGGCCTATAGAGCAAAAAACACAAAAATTTAAGTTTTTGGTCCATTTCATCCCAAAATTACTATCTGATCATCACCGAAAATTATAGGCATTGTCCTTGACCATAACTGGAACCTCACCTCTAGTGTGGTAAAGGCCTACTAAATAATATCTGTATACGTAAGCACATATAAATATTTAAGTGTAGCTTCAACATCCGAGTACATACGACAATATAGTTGGTATCAATTTAAAGGTCAATCACTCTTCTTGGGTGTACTAACAACTTCCCGGGCCTGTGTCCTTCAGCTAAATATTGATAGATCTTCATCAAGCCATACATGCTTATTCTCCGGCCCGATCCCCTTCTCCACGTATAATTTTGCGATTCTTGGGCCATAGTTGCGGCCTCTGGAGCGATCAGAAAAAATAGCTTGACGGAAATCGCTACCTTCTTCACCACCGATGACATTATCCATATTGGCATCTTCACGGGACTCACAAAGTATTACAGGCATCAAATTTGTTGCAATGGTATAAGCTAAATAAAAGAAATAATAAATGTATGTCAACTTTTAAATTTCATAATAATAAATACAAATCTTACCCCAATAATCATGCTTGTACATGGCAATGTGTATATCTCTCAAACTGGGAATTTTACTTTCATATTTCAGTAATTTCAAACTCTCCACTAATTTTTCATGATAATAGGCAATGAAATAATCAAAATGTTTTAATTTAATTTCCAAATTGGTTGATGAGTAAAGAAAATATTGTAAATCCTGTGCCGGCGATCCATAGCGACCCAATTGGAAATCAATGAAATAGGTCTCTTTCAGCGCGCCATCTTCATGATATTGGAACATAATATTGTTTACCCATAAATCACCATGATTTAGTACATTAAATTCGGCGGGATTTCGTTTTGATTTGATTTGATATGGGTCCGATTGAGATTCAACGCATTTTTTCTGTAATTGAGAGAGGAGTGTATAAGACATTTTAATTATAGTATAGCTGTACTAGTCCTGCTAATAGTAATTCTTAAAGAATAATTAAATAAATACACCATTATCGGCCTAGATAAAAACTTAAATTAACCAGTTATAAAAACCAGTGAGCGGAGCAGAACGGAACTCTTATTTTCTGCTGATGTTTTTTACGAGCCTGGGCAATATTTCGTGATATTTGCACCCATCAACAGCTCATCTTCCTTACACCGACGTATTTTCCGAATATTACTAATATTCAGTATAGCGCTTCTAATTACTTTTCCAGATTCCCTTCGCCGTGGACTGTATTGTGATGTTCGGCTTATAATTATGGCCTATAGAGCAAAAAACACAAAAATTTAATTTTTTGGTCCATTTCATCCCAAAATTACTATCTGATCATCACCGAAAATTATAGGCATTGTCCTTGACCATAACTGGAACCTCACCTCTAGTGTGGTAAAGGCCTACTAAATAATATCTGTATACGTAAACACATGTAAATATTTAAGTGTAACTCCCACATCCGAGTACATACGACAATATAATTGGTATCAATTTAAAGGTCAATCACTCTTCTTGGGTGTACTAACAACTTCCCGGGCCTGTGTCCTTCAGCTAAATATTGATAGATCTTCATCAAGCCATACATGCTTATTCTCCGGCCCGATCCCCTTCTCCACGTATAATTTTGCGATTCTTGGGCCATAGTTGCGGCCTCTGGAGCGATCAGAAAATCGGACAAAAAAGTTTTTGGTTCATTGCATCCCCTAACATTCATCTTTACCAAAAACAATAGGGGTCTTCATTGGCCAGAACCCATCCTACATGCAAAATTTCGTGAAGATTGGTCCATAACTGCGACCTGTATCGTGATTACAAATTATAATGGACAGACGGACGGACAGACACACATGTCTAGATCGACTCAGCTAGTCGAGATATGACGATCGGTATGCTTTTGGTCCATTGCATCCCCTAAATATTAACCGATCTTTACCAAAAACAATAGGGGTCTTCATTGGCCAGAACCCATCCTACATGCAAAATTTCGTGAAGATTGGTCCATAACCGCGACCTGTATCGTGATTACAAATTATAATAGACGGACGGACGGACGGACACACATGTCTAGATCGACTCAGCTAGTCGAGATATGACGATCGGTATGCTTAAAGGTGGGTCTAGGACCAATATTTCGCGGCGTTACAAACTCTGGGGCTTCACAAAGCTATAATACCCTGACAACATAGTTGTGTAGGGTGTAATAATAATCCAAGGACAAAAGTCGAATAGGGCCGATTAAATGATACCCTAGGAAGAATGCCTCCTATGTTTCTTATTGAAACATACCAAAATATATTTTCCGATTTAAATCAAGATTAACTGATTTGGCCATCTCAAATGATTGTATTTGTATGCGAATATGTGACCTATATAGATATATGAACCGATTTTAATCATTCCATATCAATGTCAATATCTATGCAAGGTTTTAAATAAATTAAGGTCTTTGTGTACCATTTATATGAAATCGGACAACATTATGTATGAATGACTGCACATGCTAGTCGGTATGTTGCAGCACAGTGTGCTTTCCAAACTGGGACTTTGATGAACCATTTACATTAAATCGGTCGAAAATATATATACGATCTATATCCAAATCTGAACCGATTTTCAAGAACTTTTACACACATCATTCTAGACTCAATTCAGTAGGCTATGCCAAATTTCGTGCAAATCGGAATATATATAGGGACTTTGGCATACCATTTACCTAAAATCGGGGGGAAGCTGTATATGGGAGCTATATCTAAATCTAAACCGATTTTCTCCAATTTCAATACGGTTAGTCCTTGGGCCAAATAAGTGAACTGTGGCAAATTTCATCCAAATCGGATTATAAATGCGACCTTTACTTTGTTAACAAAAATACATGGACGGACGGACTGACGGACATGCGTAAATCGACTCAGAAAGTGATTCTATGCATATTCTCAAAACGAACCATGGGTTTATCTCGATTCATTTTGCCTGTTACAAACATATGCACAAAGACATAATAGCCTAGTGTGGTGACCAAAGTGTGGTGAAGTGTATAAAAAACAGTAAGGACAGTTTAAAATTCGGACGGGCCGAATTAGGTACATACAAGAGATGCTCATGTGTACTCGTACAATATTCTGTATATAGAATATACATAGCATCTTCGGATAACCATTGAAATGGAATTGGACGAAATTAAATATATGATCAACATAAATATTTGAACTAATTTAAAACAACCCTTACACATACTATTCCGAAGTCTATTAAAAATTTCATGTCAATCGGGCTGACTTGGGTTCTTTGGTGTACCATTTGTATGAAATAGAGCCTTATTATGTATGGAAGCTATAACTAAATCCGGAAGTATTCGAGCAATCATGGCATCCACCACATTGTATGCTGCAATACAGTACGCTGCCCAAAATTTAACTCGATCGATGAACCATTTACATAAAATCGGACAAAACTATGTATGGAGGCTATATCTAAATATGAACCGATTTCAACAAAACTTCAAGTGTCTCAATCTGCTCCAATTACGCTGTGCACAATTTTGTCTCAATCGGACAAAACTTGGCTGTTTGGTGTACAATTTACATAAAATTGGACAGAACTATATATGGGACCTATATCTAAATCCGAACCGATTTCAACAAAACTACACACACATATATCTGGATCTAACTCAGTACTCTGCGCAAAATGTTGGCTCAATCGGACCAATATTGACAGTTGGTGTTTCATTTACATAAAATCGGACGAAACTATATACAGGACCTTTATCTTAATCTGAACCGGTTCTATCAAAACTTCGCATTTATAAATTAAAACCTAATTCACTACTCTGTGCAAAACGTTGTCTCAATCCGGCCAATATTGGCAGTATGGTGTTCCATTTACATAAAATCGGACGAGACTATATACAGGATCTTTATCTTAATCTGAACCGATTCTATCAAAACTTGGGATACATCAAACTGGACCTAATTTAGTACGCTGTACAAAATTTTGTCTCAATCGAACCAATATTGGCAGTATGGTGCTGTATTTACATAAAATCGGAAGAAACTATATATGGGAGCTATATCTAAATCTGAACCGATTACAACAAAACTTCGCATACATCCTTCTAGACATTACTCAGTGTAAATTTTGTTCTCAATCGGACCAATATCCATTTACATAAAATCGGACGAAACTATGTATGGGAGCTATCTCTAAATCTGAACCGATTCCATAAAAATTTCGCATAATGTGTAAAAGTTTGTCTCAATCGGACAAATATTGGGAGTTTGGTGCACCATATACATAAAATCGCACAAAACTATATTCTGGAGCTATATCTAAATCTGGAGAAGAAACTATATATGGGAACTATATCTAAATTAACATGGACAAACGGACGGACGGAACCGTGGGTCTATCTCGTTTCATTTTGCCTGTTGGAAACTATGTACAAAGACATAATACCCTGTACCACAGAGTGATGAAGTTTATAAAAATTTTAAACAAATATATTATGAGCGCTATTCAAAGGAGCACCGCTCTCCCTACAATTAAAATATATAAATATCGATCCTATCAAACTATTATGGACTAAATTTTGTAGTATATTTAGATGATAAAAACCCCATCATGTTGTTCAAGGTTCATGTTTACCCTACGCAAAATATCCTCCAATATTAAAATAAATTCTGCCTATTGGTATTTTATCCTCCCTAAAATATGTCCGTATAACCACATCGCTTGAAAAATAAAGCTAGAACAATAAAAATTCTTAAAATGCGCAGGTAATATTTAAAATGGGCGCATACTTTGGGAATTGGCTATGGACATTCAAAATCTAGCGGGAGCTATGGGAGCTATGTCCAAAAATAGACCAATAATGATCATTTGTTCACCACTTCTGCTGAAAACTTCTAAATATCGTAATATGCAAATTTTCAGTTCTACTCTGATATAATTTTTATTCTAATTAGGCTTTTCCATATAGGTCAATAATTTCCACTCACCAATTTCTCTCGTAAATATTCCAAATCACCATACAAATGCATATTATCTCTAAAGGTTTTTCCAGCATTCAGACGATGTTCTACAAACTCATCCTTCTCCGCCACCACACACTGGTCGTACATTTTGGGGAATTCCTCCACCGATTCAACATAACGTGCTGATGCAGCATGAAATTGTGCCAATTTTTCAAGTACTGCCTTTGTGTGTGCGATATCAAGACCCAAATGCCGATTGGCATTTTTAAAATCATGCAAACGTAAATCTTCCATAATAAGTAAATAATCGTTATGGGTGGCATTTTTCAATTCCAGTAATTTTGGAGCAAACCGCACAGTCTTCCCCACATTCGAATAGAATTCTTCGAATTTGGGTATATATTTGGAATAGGTTGCCTGCTCCTTTTCAAATATTTGCCATTCTTTGATCATATTTTCCATTTGTTGAGTGTTGGGTTTTATTTTCACCATATAGGATGTGGATTTGGTGCTCGAGTCGGGCAATTCAACTTCTAAATGTATTCTTAATAAGGTGGTCATAAAATTTTCACCTGCAGCCACTGCCCGCTTAACATCAAAGTTGGTAATTTTTGTATAATTTGGATAATCATTTTTTAAGAAATCACTAAACAATTCTGGTGTTAACCATTCCGGTTTATCTGGAAAGTCGCCATTGTTGTTGTTATTTTGTTCTTTATGCTGCGTATCACCATTTGAATTTTGAACCATTTTGGTATTGTTGTTGTTCGGTTTTAGTATTTTAAATTGATTGTTTGTTGTTTTTTGTCCGCGTTGAATATTTAAGCGCAACGTTCGAAAAGCTACTGAGACTTGATATAGATTTTGTTTAAGAACATTGCGCAAATTATGATTTGCTATTGCGCTGTATCATGAATGCGTCGCAATGCCAAAATGATTAATTCCAATAAGAGAAAAATGTAAAATTGAATGATAAATGTTTTGTGTCTCTATATTACATGTAGATATGGAAGATTTTATGTGGAGGGTAATTATGTCGACGATACGATTATCAAAGATTATAAAACACATGGAGTTTTAAATAAAAAAATAAAAAAAAAATATTTTCTAGAACTAACATAATGGTAAATTAAAACCAGTAAGGAAAATAGTAAAGTCGGACTGGACCGACTAAATGATACCCTTCACCACTTTGGAATATTCTACATATGTATTCTAAAACCAGTGAGCGGAGCAGTATAGTCGGACGGGGCCGACCATATGATACCCTACACAACTTCCACGAACATCTAACTTTCTGTGGTACCACATTCTGAGCTTGGGCAATATTTCGCAATGTATGCATCCTCATGACCCACCAGAGGTCCACAAATATTACTAATATTCAGTACAGTCCTTATAATTACTTGTCCAGATTCCCTTCAAAGTGGGTTGTTTTGTGATGTTCAGCTTTCAATTTTGGCCTGTAGATCGACTCGAAAAAAAAACGTTATCGGTCCACTTTATTCCATCATCACCGAAAATTATCATCACGAAAATTATAGGCGTTGTCCTTGACCATACCTCGATACTAGTGAAAGCGATGAGCGCTATATTTCCATATTTCCGCCCCCTAGTGTGTTAATGGGTTACTAAATAATATCTGAGTACGTAAGCACCTGTAAACAATTAAGTGTAACTCCCACAACCGAGTACATACGACAGTGAAATTGGTATCAGTTTAAAGGTCAACCACTCCTCATGGATATACTATCAACTTCTCAGGTCTATGTCCTTCAGTGGTAAATCTATACGCTATAGGATACAAATTTTGTAATTTTTCACACAAAAGTCAGGGTCCATTTGACCCGCTAAATATTGACCGATCTTTATCGAAACAGGCATGCTTATTATTTGGCTCCATGTTAAAATTTCCGGTGTTTGGGCCATAATTGCGGCCTCTGGAGCGACCAGAAAAACCGAAAAAATAAAGTTTTTGGTTCATTTCATCCCCTAAATATTAACAGATCTTTTCCAAAAACAATAGGGGTCTTCATTGACCAGAACCCATTCTACATGCCAAATTTCGTGAAGATTGGTCCATAACTGTGGCCTGCATCGTGTTTACAAATTATAATGGACAGACGGACGGACGGACACACATGTCTAGATCGACTCAGCTAGTCGATATATGTCGATCGGTATACTTAAAGGTGGGTCTAGGACCAATATTTCGCGGCGTTACAAACATTGGGGGCTGCACAAAGCTATAATACCCTGACAACATAGTTGTGTAGGGTATAATGAATAAGTAAAAATTATATATGGAAGCTATGCTATAGGGTTCGTCCCTGGGTCAAATAAGTGACTTGTGCCAAATTTCATTCAAATCGGATTATAAATGCGACCTGTACTTTGTTTACAAAAATACATGGACGGACAGAAATGCGCAAATCGACTCAGAAAGTGATTCCATGCATATTCTCAAAAGGAACCATGTGTCTATCTCGTTTCCTTTTGCCTGTTACAAACATATACACAAAGACATAATACCCTGTACCGCAGTGTGGTGAAGGGTATAAAAATGCCTTGATATTATCAATTAATATTTGTTCATGGATTTGAAGAATATTTTTTTACCGATCAATTTCTTTTAGTATTGAAAGTAGCACGGGCTTTTGATAGAGTATTTATTCGTATGGTTTTTTTAAAGAATATGTTTTCAAGAAGTAATTTAAGCTTAGATGGCTTAATAAATATTCGTTGAAGTATTAAAATATATCTGAATGGTCAATATATCGGACCATATTCACCAAAAACAAGTTTTGTTTTAAACTATAGTTCTAAATTTCAAAATAATAGCTTTATTAAATCTGAATTTATTTAAAACAAAACTTCTCCTGTAAAATTTCAAATTTGAGGGTTACATTTTTTTTGGTGAATAGGGCTCGATATACATACCCGCCCATCTGTCCATTTACTTTTGAAAACAAAGTACAGGTCACATTTATAATCCGAATTGGATGAAATGTGTGACAATTATTCAAATTCTGCAGTTAATCAATTTGGCATGTCAACCACTCACCTAGCTTTCCTCATAATTCGAGTTTTTGGCAATTGTTTGTCGCTGTATTCTATTGCTTTGGTCAATTAACCATATATAGTATAAAATAAGCTCAGAATAATTATAATTATATTAAGCTGCTATTCAAGTATTTTTAATCACAAACAACAAACATGATACAAATAATAAAAATATGTCTGCTAACAAATATATACAAATGCATAATTAATTTTAATTTAAACATGTCATTGTACACCTGACCTTCATTTTGGAGACAAAACGAATATTGTGTTGATGCATTCTGTTTATAATGGTTCAAAAATGTATTTATTAGATCCCACACAATATACACACATACATACTATGTATGAATATGAATACGCAGCTATTGTCAAACAAATTGTATACAAAGGAAATACAAGCAAATGCACATATGCATACATACATTATTATATGGATGTTTTATTTGGTTATAAAAACTTAGGAATTTCATTTTTAAGTTGAATGACCGCATTATTTTCAAATGTATATACCATTCAAATATTTTGAAGTGCATCTTTTATATATATATATATATATATATATGCCTCTCTCATAGAAGTCTTGCAAAAAACGCTAGTAGTCGATTTTCACAATCCTCCTACATACCAATTTTTTATCATTAAGGGAACCCCCATTCTCGATTTTAATTTGTCAAGATTTTCAATGGGCTGGTAAATCAATACCAATGCTTGTTAAAGTTCGTAACTTTGCACATATATATTTGAAGATTTAAAAAAGAAGAAAACTAATTTACAAAAAAAAAAAATTGTTATTGTTTTGTTGTTGTTAATTGTAATTAAACAAAAGTCCTTAATTTTTATGGCGGGCATGATAACTCCTCACTGGAAGCTAAACTTTGAAAAAATATTTTTGGAAAATCGCCGATTTTTGATCAAAAACCAAGTTAAACCAGTAAGTAAAGTAGTAAAGTCGGACGGGGCCGACTATATGCTACCATTCACAACTATAGGTATATTAAAAAGGACTATTTACATGAAATTGGATAAAATAAAATATGTGATATTTATCTAAATGTGAATCTACCTAGATCTATCCATAAACACGTCATTCGTTAGTATGTAAATCGACTTCAAACAAATATAAATAGGTCATCCGTTGGGCTATGTCTATACTTCTGGAAAACGCAACTACGTAATTCTATGCTCAATTTTGTACGTTGTGCAAAATTTGATATCAATCTGACTTACATGAGGAGTTTGATGCCCAATTTACTTGAAATCGGTCGGAAATATATATGGAAGCTATCCAAATATTAAGCTGTTTCAAACAAACTTGTCACAGGTTAGGTTATACTAATTTCAGAACGTTTTGTTCCTATCAGCCTATTGGTTCCTTGGAGCGTCAATTACTTAAAATCAATCTATAATAAAAGGGAACTATATCTAAATCTGGACCGATTTTCAGGAAACAAGGCAGACATCACTCTAGGCTCAATTCAGTACGTTATGCCAAATTTCGTGCAAATCGAAGGATATATAGGGACTTTGGTGCACCATTTACATAAAATCGGACGAAACTATATATGGGAGCTATATCTAAATCAGGACCAATTTTCACGAAACTTGGCAGACATCATTCTAGGCTCAATTCAGTACGTTATGCCAAATTTCGTGCAAATCGAAGGATATATAGGGACTTTGGTGCACCATTTACATGAAATCGGACGAAACTATATATAGGAGCTATATCTAAATCAGGACCGATTTTCACGAAACTTGGCAGACATCATTCTAGGCTCACTTCAGTACGTTATGCCAAATTTCGTGCAAATCGAACGATATATAGGGACTTTGGGGCACCATTTACATGAAATCGGACGAAACTATATATGGGAGCTATATCTAAATCTGGACCGATTTTCTCGAAACTTGGCAGACATCACTCTAGGCTTAATTCAATATGTTATGCCAAATTTCGTGCAAATCGAAAGATATATATGGACTTTGGTGCACCATTTACATGAAATCGGACGAAACTATATATGGGAGCTATATCTAAATCTGGACCGATTTTCACGAAACTTGGCAGACATCATTCTAGACCTAAATGATTAGGCTATACAAAATTTCGTGCAAATCGAAAGAAATATAGGGACCGTTTACATTAAATCGGTTAAATATATATATATATATATATATATATATGGGAGCTATATCTAAATCTGAACCGATTTTTCCCAATTTCAATAGGGTTCGTCCTTGGGCCGAATAAGTGACTTGTGCCAAATTTCATCCAAATCGGATCATAAATGCGACCTGTACTTTGTTTACAATTTAACATCTACAGACGGACGGACAGACGAACGGAAGGACATGCATAAATCGATTCAGAAAGTGATTCTATGCATATTCTCAAAAGGAACCATGTGTCTATCTCGTTTCCTTTTGCCTGTTACAAACATATGCACAAAGACATAATACCCTGTACCACAGTGTGGTGAAGGGTATAAAAATAAGGAAGATCTTTACCGATTGGCTTTATCCTCGTTCATACGATAGCTATACAATCCCAGAGAAACGTGTAAAAATTTGGAATCGATTGGGTTATTAGTTTTTGTGTTATCGTGCCCGCCATTCGCAAAACCAATGTTTAGAGAAAAGCGCGTTTAAAGTTTGAGAAGCCCTTCAGCCGTCGTTTGATGCTGACAAAATAAATCGGCTATATCTTCAAGAGTTTTTGAGACTTTCACTTGAAATTTTGTAGGGTCATTCATGAATTAGAGTAGATTAGAATTAAGTCAAAACAATTTTTGACACCGCGAATGGGGACCACCACCTCTCGCCTGACCAAATTCACACTCCACACGACGCTGATACTATCCGTATGGATCTGAAACATGGAAAATTCTCCGAAATATCAATGGGCCAAACTGTGTCGACGCTGAATGAACCATGAGTTTAATGAACCATGAGTTGTATCATCTTTTCTCGGACATTGAGCTGCAGCGAATACGTTGGCTAGGCCATATTGTGAGGATGTCCCAGCACAAAAGGCATATAAAAGCGAGCCAACTGATGGTTAAAGCAGGAGGGTAAGGCCATAAATTCGATGGACAGATCAAGTGGAAGATAACATGATCTCTCAAATTGGAAAAGCTGCGCACAAGACCGAAGCTCCTGGAAATATTTTTTAAGCTCTGCTCATGGAACAAATGCTCAGCATCAAGCCAGATAAGTGTGTAAATAGTATGAGCTTTTACATCATTCAATTTAAACTTAATTTTTGAGGACCATTGCCTGATAGTTCTCGAGTTGATTTCCATCAAAGTGCTCGCTGCACTTCTCCAAATAAAGCGTGTTTAGCAAAAAATTCTTCAAACGAGTAACGTCCTTGTAGATAACCCTGTAGATTCTCTATTGACATGAGGTTGGGATTTCAATGCACCCAGCGAAAATCTACTGGAACATCGTAGCTGCTTTATTGGACAACAATGTTTACCTCATAAAAAGGTAGCATTAAATGCTTCCAGTAGCTCATTGATGTTCCACTGTTATTTTCCCAAAGACTACTGTCTGATGAATCCGACGTATTTTTGGAACAATCAAATATCTCAGAGCTGGTATCTGTGTCGCTTGCATTGTCCTTTCGCTTGGACCGGTAGATGGTATTGACACTAAATAAATATAAAGCGTTAAATGAAGTGGTGTTTCGTTGTATCTTATTGATGGCGCTTAAAACTGGACTAAGTTTTCTTAACTTTCGAAGCTCTCTTCTCGAATGAAATGTAATTCATTACTTCATTTTTTTTGCGGGTTTTCCATTTTACTACATAGTTTTCATAATACTTATGAATGGGCCCATTTATGGTGACTGTATACCGTACACATATGCATTATAAAATTGTTAAATAATTAACTGCCACATATGCATTATAAAATTGTTAAATAATTAACTGCCATAAAAGTGGTTACAGCAAAAATTTAAATTTGCATGAAAAAGAGTGCTACCATAACAGAACCCGAAGATCCACAGAAAAAAATAATTCGTAAAATATATGAATCGTGTTCAGAAATAGTTGCCAAGGTCCGAATTTCTGCATTTTATGAATACTGGTTTCTTGTCAGGGAGAGAGAGAGTGAGTGAGTGAAAAAAGTTGTGAGTGTTGTTTGGTCTTGGCGGTTTGGTCTTCTGTGGCACATAATCTCTTTGTCGTTTTGATTTTATGCTTTCTTCTTTGTTTTGTATTCTCTCGTTTCTTCTTATTTACGTGCATGTTTTTCTCGCGCGTCATTAGAAAGATCATATACAATGTTATACATTCGGTTGGGTTTGTTGTTCCAATCAACACTTGTTTGATATATTGTATTTGTCATTTATATCGATATACTCTTGAAAATGCAGAAGCGAATTTTATGTTCCGTGTCTAAAATATTGAAACAATGCGGTTGTTATCAAGACAAACAAACGATTGCGAAACTAACAACCACCAAGTGAGAGGAGAATCATTACGGTTTGTATGATGGAAATTATCCTTGATTGTGAAAATCATAAAAACTGCTGTGTTTTTATAAAAAAAAACTCGACTAGGCGGTACTTAGTTATATTTTTCCAATATTTTAATTTGTTTCAATATATTAATTAGTTTTATTTGTATAAATGTAACACTAGAATAATATCATATAATACCAGCATGCAATTGACTGAAATCTAATAAAACAACAAATATTATTTTGTTCGTCTACATACATAAGTACACAAATACTAGTTTTAGGAACATCATAAATCAAAAGCTCCACGATTATCAAGCCAAGGTAATAACATTTTCATCGATTTGACATAATTGGCGCCACCATACATGGCTTGGCGGAACTCTTCTCCATTCTCACCGGTTAAGTTATCAACATTGGCATCATCACGTGCCTCACAAAGTACAATGGGCATCAATGCACTGACTGTAGTATAGGCTAAAAGAAAATGCGATTTATTAAATTTATCAAAGTCAAAAAAGTTTATTTTTTTAACTTACCCCAATAATCATGTTTGAACAGCGCCAACTGAATATCCTTTAATTTTGGCATTACCCCTTTATACTTAAGCAATTGCAAATTTTCAATTAACTTCCGATGATAGTAGGATATGAAATAATCAAAATGTTTCAATTTAATATCAACACTGGTCGATGAGAATATAAAATATAATAAATCTTGTGCTGGTGGTCCATAACGACCCATTTGAAAGTCAATGAAATATGTCTCCTTTAACGATCCATCATCATTGTACTGGAACATGATATTATTAACCCATAAATCACCATGATTTAGAACATTGAATTCTGCGGGATCACGTTCCGATTTCATTTGAAATGGATCACATTTCAGTTCGGCATAGTTTTTCTGAAAAAAAAATTAAATATTTTTATTAGGTGTGGAAAATGGCAAAAAATGGGGCGGAATCTTTTAATATGGAGACTTTGTCAACATATGGACCAAAATAAAATGATAAACATATGTCAGACTCCAAAAATTACAGCCTACTTGGTGGGAAAATTCGGCTGAAACGTTCAAAACATCGAAAATGGGCTGGAAGGGCTGTATTGAAAATGGTCACCCTCTAAGAGGCTATGTCAAACCAGTAAGGAAAGTAGTATAGTCGGACGGGGCCGATCATATGATACCCTACACAACTATCATCGGAATTGAATATTCATCAGAAGTTAACATAATTTTGCGTTATTATAATATTTTATATAATGAAACTCTCACATTTACTTCGCGGTTCTATTTTTGAGGTGGTGAATTATGTTTTGGAATGTACCTATGTACCATTAGTTATCTGAAATCATCATTAAACTTAAAGGTTGGTCTAGGACCAATATTTCGAGGCGTTACAAACTCTTGGGGCTGCACAAAGCTATAATACCCTGACAACATATTTGTGTAGGATACAATAAATTTTCGGTCCATTTCATCTCGAAATTATTATCTGATCATCAAAGGTCCTTGACCATACCTGGATCCTCATTGAACATTTCAAAGTGATCAGAGCTATATTTCCGCCTTCTAGTGTTGTAATGGGTTAGTACGTAAGCACCTGTAAATATTTAAGTGTAACTCCCACATCTGAGTACATACGACCCTATAATTGGTATCAATTTAAAGGTCAACCACTCTTCTTGGATATACTATACACTTCTCGGGTCTGTGTTCTTCAGGGACAAATATATAAGCCATAGAATACACATTTTGTCATTTTTCACACAAAAGTATGGGTCCATTTGACCCGCTAAATATTGACCGATCTTTATCAAAACAGGCATACTTATTCTTTGGCCCGATCCCCTCTCCATGCAAAAATACGCGATGTTTGTACCATAATTGCGGCCTCTGGAGCGACCAGAAAATCAGACAAAAATAAAGTTTTTGGGCCATTTCATCAGCTTAATATTAACTGATCTTTTTCAAAAACAACCAGTAAGGAAAGTAGTAAAGTCGGACGGGGCCGACTATATGATACCCTTCACCACTATGGGTATATTAAACAGGACTATTAACATGATATATTTCATGGGAGCTATATAGACCGATTTTCTCGAAACTTGGCAGACATCACTCTAGGCTCAATTCAGTACGTTATGCCAAATTTCGTGCAAATCGAAGGACTTTGGTGCACCATTTATATGAAATCGGACGAAACTATATATGATTTTCACGAAACTTAGCAAATTGCCAAATTTCGTGCAAATCGAAAGATATATAAGTACTTTGTGGCACCATTTACATGAAATCGGACGAAACTATATATGGAAGCTATATCTACATCTGGACCGATTTTCTCGAAACTAGGCAGACATCACTCTAGGCTTAATTCAGTACGATATGCCAAATTTCGTGCAAATCGAAAGATATATAGGGACTTTGGGGCACCATTTACATGAAATCGGACGAACATCAGACAGACAGAGAGACATCACTCTAGGCTCAATTCAGTACGTTATGCCAAATTTCGAGCAAATCGAAAGATATATAGGGACTTTGGGGCACCATTTACATGAAATCGGACGAAACTATATATGGGAGCTATATCTAAATCAGGACCGATTTTCACGAAACTTGGCAGACATCACTCTAGGATCAATTCAGTACGTTATGCCAAATTTCGTGCAAATCGAAACATATATAGGTACTTTGGGGCACCATTTACATGAAATCGGACGAAACTATACATGGAAGCTATATCTAAATTTAGATCGATTTTCTCGAAACTTGGCAGACATCACTCTAGGCTTAATTCAGTACGATATGCCAACTTTCGTGCCAATCGAAAGACATATAGGGACTTTGGGGAACCATTTACATGAAATCGGACGAAACTATATATGGGAGGTATATCTAAATCTGAACCGATTTTCTTAAAACTTGGCAGACATCACTCTAGACTCAATTCAGACGAAACTATATATGGGAGCTATATCTAAATGTGAACCGATTTTCACGAAACTTGGCAGACATAATTCTAGGCTCAATTCAGTACGTTATGCCAAAATTGGTGCAAATGGAAAGATATATAGGGACTTTTGATGCACCATTTACATGAAATCGGACGAAACTATATATGGGAGCTATATCTAAATCTGGACCGATTTTCACGAAACTTGGCAGACATCATTCTAGACCGAAATGATTAGGCTGTACGAAATTTCGTGCAAATCGAAAGATATATGTGGACTTTGGTGCACCATTTACATGAAATCGGACGAAACTATATATGGGAGCTATATCTAAATCTGGACCGATTTTCATGAAACTTGGCAGACATAATTCTAGGCTCAATTCAGTACGTTATGCCAAAATTGGTGCAAATCGAAAGATATATAGGGACTTTTGATGCACCATTTACATGAAATCGGACGAAACTATATATGGGAGCTATATCTAAATCTGGACCGATTTTCACGAAACTTGGCAGACATCATTCTAGACCGAAATGATTAGGCTGTACCAAATTTCGTGCAAATCGAAAGATATGTAAGGACCGTTTACATTAAATCGGTTAAATATATATATGGGAGCTATATCTAAATCTGAACCGATTTTTCCCAATTTCAATAGGGTTTGTCCTTAGGCCGAATAAGTGACCTATGCCAAATTTCATCTAATTCGGATCATAAATGCGACCTGTACTTTGTTTAAAATTTAACATGGACAGACAGACGGACAGACGGACGGACGGACGGACGGACGGACATGCATAAATCGACTTCAAAAGTGATTCTATGCATATTCTCAAAAGGAACCATCTGTCTATCTCGTTTCCTTTTGCCTGTTACAAACATATGCACAAAGACATAATACCCTGTACCACAGTGTGGTGAAGGGTATAAAAATAGGGGTATTCATTGGGCGGAACCCATCCTACACCAATATTTCGCGGCGTTACAAACTTTTGGGACTGCACAAAGCTATAATACACTGACAACATAGTTGTGTAGGGTATAAAATGGGCTCACAATGAAAATATTCTGCAAAAATTATTTTCACCCCGGAATGCCATATTTCAAAACTAATTTTCAAAACTCTGAAAAGGGCGCAATTATAAGACTATGCCAAAACCTTGCCCTATTAAAAAAAATCTCCAAAAACTTCCCACTCTCCAAGAATTCGGAATGCCAAATTGCAGACCATTCGAATATAACCTTCAAAATACCGAAAATAGAGCGGAACCTTTATATGGGGCCTATGGCAAAACATTGACCCACAATCAAATATTTCTGCAAAATTTGGCACTTTCCGAGAATACGGAATATCAAATCGCAGCTTGAAAATTCGATCTTTAAAATACCGAAAAATGTGCGAAACCGCGGAATATTAACCCTTTGTGGCCCAATGTTGCCCACAGGCAACAAAATGTTTTAGAGCTTATATTTAATATGCAGCTAGTAAATATAAATTATTTGGATTTCATATGTCAAGACCTGATTATGAAAGACACATATCAAACAGAAAAATCCAAAAATTTTAAATTTTGGTAAAGTTATGAGCTTTTCAATATAGAGAAGTGGCTAAATTTGTGTACAGTACTAATTTGTGTATAAAGTCCAAATTATTTAAATCGCTTCGTATTTAAAATGTACGAGTTCTGCCATCAGAATTATTTTTAATTCTTGTAAAAATGAATATAGAGAATGATTTAAAATGATTTTTCTGTCGATTTTAGATTTGGTTTTCTTGATATTGGACTTTAATTTTTCCGAAAGAATGTACTGTATCTCCCGAATGCGAGGATGTAGCGATGCCAAATTTTGTGAATATCCTATTTAGGATAGTTGCATTAAATCTGTGAATATGAATTTGTTCTAAGATCGTGGAAAAAAATTCGGGGCTCAAAGGGTTAATTTTTTTCTGCATAGACTTATGTCATCCTCCAGAAACGAAAAAAAATATTGAATAGTATATTAATGATTTAGTATATTTTTCACTTACCAACTTGTCTTCCAAATACTCCATCCCACCATATAAATGCAAATTTTCCCGGAATATTTTTCCAATACGCAAACGATGATCGTGAAATAAATCCTTTTTGGCAGTAAAACATTGATCATACATTGCGGGGAATTCTTCCTCTTCGAGGGCATAATGTGCCGAGGCAGCATGAAATTGTGCCAACTTCCTCAATACCGCTTTTGTGTGTATCATATCTAAACCCGTATGACGATTGAAATTTTTAAATCCCTTCAGACGTAAATCTTCCAATATCAAAAGGTCATCCTTAATGTCGTGCACTTGTTGCGGCATCAAAATACGTGGTGCTATTTTCAGTGGACTTCCCGCCTCAGCGTAGTATTGTTCAAATTTTGGTATATATTTACTATAGGTGGTGTGTTCTTTACGAAATATTTGCCATTCTTTGATCATGATTTGTAGCCTTTCTACATGCGGTTTAATTTTGACCATATATGAGGTGGTATTGATGCTGCTATCGGGCATTTCAACGGAAATTATAACTCTCAGCAACACTGTCATATAATTTTCCCCAGCCGCAACTGCAGGTTTGATGTGAAAATTTGAGATTCTTTTAAAATTTGGAAAATCTTTTTCAAGAAATTCTCGAAATAATTCCTCCGTTAACCATTCTGGTGTATTTTGAACATCTTCGCTTTCACCGATTTTGTTAACCATTTCTGCGAGATTTTTTAAAATAAACACGATTGTCCGATAGTTCTCCGTTTACGTGTGAACCTTCCCGTTGAAATTCTGATGAACTACTAATTTAGTAATTGTCACGGAATAAACCCACAAGATCCATTAATGGGCCCAATGTGAAAAAAGGCTTTTCCAACATTTTAATTGTAGATCAACTGCGTTTGTTTGTGTTTTATTTACACAAATACAACTTTTGTTGTTGTAGTTGCGAAACGCAAACCAAATACACAAAGCTTGTAGATCAACTGCGATTGTTTGTATTTTATTTACACAAATACAACTTTTGTTGTTGTAGTTGCGAAACGCAAACCAAATACACAAAGCTTCAAAGATATGAACGTGAAAAAATTAAATACAATTATTAAAAAGATAAGATGCTCATATCTAGGGGATTAAATAAAAATGACATCTGGCTAAAACTAAGTGATAGGGAAATAGTCAAAATTATCTAGTAACTACACAAAATAAGGAATGGTCCAAAATCTGACGATTCGAATATATGAAACCATATAACACTTTGGGAATATTTAGATGTGTTTGTAATTGGTATTATAAGCCATTAAATTTAAATTTGTCATTACGTTTTCAACACCTCGAAATACACACCGGAGACCCAATAAAGTAAATACATTATTGATCGGAATAACATTCTATGTCGATTTAGCCATGTCCGTCCGTCTATATCTGTTAAGAGCGTTGACATTTTCCTCATACATTGCTATTACTAGGATGTTTCGTATTTATAATGGGTTATATCGGTCCACTTTGTAGTGTAGCCCCCTCAAATAATTGCTATTTTGAAACATTTTAACCGAATTGCTTCTAATTTGGTATAAGGGATTCTCACTGAGCAAAAAAACCCTCTACGAAAAATTATCTGGCTCGAAACAGAACATTTGTTCCATAAGCCGAACTTAAACCAGTAAGGAAAGTAGTAAAGTCGGACGGGGCCGACTATATGATACCCTTCACCACTTTGAGTATATTCAACAGATGAATCCTAACAGAAGTCGCATTTTTAAAGGACCAGTAAAATGAAATTGGAAACAAAAACACGTCATTCTGCAACCGATACTAAATTGTTCATTTGGTCAGATATAGAAGCTATATCTAAATCTGAACCGATTTCAGGAAACTTAACACACATCATTCTAGACCTAATTTGTTACGCTGTGCCAAATTTCGTGCAAATCGAAAGATATATAGGGACTTTGGTGCACCATTTACATTAAATCTGACGAAAGTATATGTGGGAGCTATATATAAATCTGAACCGATTTTCAGGCAACTTTACACACATCATTCTAGACCTAATTTGCTACGCGGTGCCAAATTTCGTGCTTAAATGGACTCAAAAAGTGATTCTATGCATATTCTCAAAAGGAGCCATGGGTCTATCTCGATTATTTTTGCATGTTACAAACATATGCACAAAAACATAATACCCTGTACCAGAAAAAAGAATTTGGTTCAATAACCTCAAAACCGGGGGGCTACCAGAAAAAATTGACCAATATTTATAATTTATAGTGGAGAGATGTGCTACCTAATAAGAACTCGACGTACTAAATTACAGTCAATTTGGTCGAAAAATCCGATCAGAACCCCCAAAATACCAAAAATTTTGGGGTACCGTTATATGGGTACTACCAGAAAAACTGGACCTATATTTATAATTTTTAGTGGAGTAATTTGGTACCCAATAAGAACCCAATGTACAAAATTTCAGCGAATTCAGTTATAAAACGAGCCCAAAAACCCGAAAATACCGAAAATTGGGGGTGCCCTTATATGGGGGCTTTCCGAAAAAATGTACCTTTATTTATAATGTTTGGTAGGGGGATTTGCTACCCAATAAGAACACAAAGTACCAAATTTCAGTGAATTCGGTCGAAAAATGCGATCACAACCCCCAAAATACCGAAAATTGGGGGTAATCTTATATGGGGGCTATCCCAAAAAATGGACCTTTATTTATAATTTTTGGTAGGGAGATTTGCTACCCAATAAGAACTCAATGTACAAAATTTCAGGGAATTCAGTTAAAAAACGCGCTTAAGAACCTCAAAATACCGAAAATTTGGGGGTACCCTTATATGGGGGCTATGCGAAAAAATGGACCGTTATTTATAATTTTTGGTAGGGAGATTTGCTACCCAATAAGAACACAAAGTACCAAATTTCAGCGAATTCGGTCGGAAAATGCGATCAAAACCCCCAAAATACCGAAAATTGGGGGTAATCTTATATGGGGGCTATCCGAAAAAAATGGACCTTTATTTATAATTTTTGATAGAGAGATTTGCTACCCAATAAGAACTCAAAGTACCAAATTTCTGCGAATTCAGTTAAAAAACGCGCTCAAGAACCTCAAAATACCGAAAATTTTGGGGTACCCTTATATGGGAGCTATGCCTAAACGTGGACCGATTTTTTCCAATTTCAATAGGTGATTCTATGCATATTCTCAAAAGGAGCCATGGGTCTATCTCGATTATTTTTGCATGTTACAAACATATGCACAAAAACATAATACCCTGTACCAGAATAAAGAATTTGGTTCAATAACCTCATAACCTGGGGGCTACCAGAAAAAATTGACCAATATTTATAATTTATAGTGGAGAGATGTGCTACCTAATAAGAACTCGACGTACTAAATTACAGTCAATTTGGTCGAAAAATCCGATCAGAACCCCCAAAATACCAAAAATTTTGGGGTACCGTTATATGGGTACTACCAGAAAAACTGGACCTATATTTATAATTTTTAGTGGAGTAATTTGGTACCCAATAAGAACCCAATGTACAAAATTTCAGCGAATTCAGTTATAAAACGAGCCCAAAAACCCGAAAATACCGAAAATTGGGGGTGCCCTTATATGGGGGCTTTCCGAAAAAATGGACCTTTATTTATAATGTTTGGTAGGGGGATTTGCTACCCAATAAGAACACAAAGTACCAAATTTCAGTGAATTCGGTCGAAAAATGCGATCAAAACCCCCAAAATACCGAAAATTGGGGGTAATCTTATATGGGGGCTATCCGAAAAAATGGACCTTTATTTATAATTTTTGGTAGGGAGATTTGCTACCCAATAAGAACTCAATGTACAAAATTTCAGGGAATTCAGTTAAAAAACGCGCTCAAGAACCTCAAAATACCGAAAATTTGGGGGTACCCTTATATGGGGGCTATGCGAAAAAATGGACCGTTATTTATAATTTTTGGTAGGGAGATTTGCTACCCAATAAGAACACAAAGTACCAAATTTCAGCGAATTCGGTCGGAAAATGCGATCAAAACCCCCAAAATACCGAAAATTGGGGGTAATCTTATATGGGGGCTATCCGAAAAAAATGGACCTTTATTTATAATTTTTGATAGAGAGATTTGCTACCCAATAAGAACTCAAAGTACCAAATTTCAGCGAATTCAGTTAAAAAACGCGCTCAAGAACCTCAAAATACCGAAAATTTTGGGGTACCCTTATATGGGAGCTATGCCTAAACGTGGACCGATTTTTTCCGGTTCAATAACCTCATAACCTGGGGGCTACCAGAAAAAATTGACCAATATTTATAATTTATAGTGGAGAGATGTGCTACCTAATAAGAACTCGACGTACTAAATTACAGTCAATTTGGTCGAAAAATCCGATCAGAACCCCCAAAATACCAAAAATTTTGGGGTACCGTTATATGGGTACTACCAGAAAAACTGGACCTATATTTATAATTTTTAGTGGAGTAATTTGGTACCCAATAAGAACCCAATGTACAAAATTTCAGCGAATTCAGTTATAAAACGAGCCCAAAAACCCGAAAATACCGAAAATTGGGGGTGCCCTTATATGGGGGCTTTCCGAAAAAATGGACCTTTATTTATAATGTTTGGTAGGGGGATTTGCTACCCAATAAGAACACAAAGTACCAAATTTCAGTGAATTCGGTCGAAAAATGCGATCAAAACCCCCAAAATACCGAAAATTGGGGGTAATCTTATATGGGGGCTATCCGAAAAAATGGACCTTTATTTATAATTTTTGATAGAGAGATTTGCTACCCAATAGGAACTCAAAGTACCAAATTTCTGCGAATTCAGTTAAAAAACGCGCTCAAGAACCTCAAAATACCGAAAATTTTGGGGTACCCTTATATGGGAGCTATGCCTAAACGTGGACCGATTTTTTCCAATTTCAATAGGGTTCGTCCTTGGGCCAATTAAGTGAACTGTGCCAAATTTCATCCAAATCGGATCATAAATGCGACCTGTACTTTGTTAACAAAAATACATGGACGGACGGACAGACGGACGGACGGACGGACGGACAGACGGACAGACGGACATGCATAAATCGACTCAGAAAGTGATTCTATGCATATTCTCAAAAGGAACCATGGGTCTATCTCGATTATTTTTGCCTGTTACAAACATATGCACAAAGACATAATACCCTGTACCACAGTGTGGTGAAGGGTATAAAAAGATTTCCAGGCGCGGTTTTTTCCAATTTGAAAAACAATGTTTTGATCTGTCATCCTCGACTTGATATTTCCATCGAATTCGAGGCCTTACCCTTCTGCGTGAACCATAAGTAGGCTCGCTTTTATATGCTTTTTGATCTGAGGCATACTCATCCATTCACACAACACCGAAGTCTCTGCAGCTCGATACGACTGACTATGTCGATGTCCGCATATAGATTGTAAAGCTCGTGTTTCATTCGACGCCGATATTCACCGTTGACGCAGATCGGTCCATAGATCTCTCGGAGAATTTTTCTCTCAAACACTTCAAGAGCTGCTTCATCTGTTTGAGTAAGTACCCAGGTCCATATAACAGCACGGGTAGTATTAACGTCTTGTAGAGTGTGAGTTTGGCCTGGGGAGAGGTGCCTTGTTGACCATAGTAGCATCTGTAGCCAAAAATATCCTTCTCCGAATTTCAAAACTGATGTCAATTATTTTATTTAT